GGTGATTCAAATTGTCTGTGGTGAAACAGAAGTAGCAGGGATGAAATTAGGATTGTTATGTATAGTTACAAACTAGATTTAGCTTGAGAAACAAAGGTTGGAATAATTGTCTACACCTTTGTATTCTTCCACTACTTCTCCAAATAGCAGGGGACTATAAACCTTACTCCAGTGACAAAATTGCCAAGAGCCCATACAATTAAATTAAGAATGGCTACAGAAACCACATACATCCAACCAGAGCTTCATCAACCACCAGCGCACAGTTCACTACAAATATCTTGAACTGAACATGTCAGAACCAAGACAACACAAGAAAGGAAGCACTGAAATATTTCAGAAAATCTGCATTTCTTTATAGTATTTATCATGAAGGACCAGTCACACCAACATTTAAAAAACTACCTAAACATTTCACTTGCTCACTGCTACATTTGTACATAAAATGCAGCTCTGCTGAGTCAATCGCCACCTTTCTGTGAAATATACAACTATAGTCCTATAATATTTCAGGCAACCACTGATTGACTTACAGGCTAACAGATGTCTATCCAGATCTGTCACTGGCTAAACAGCATTTTAATGACTAGATTTTTATGTGTAGCTGGTCTTAACAGCTCACAGAACTGTAGGCATTTAATGCTGTTGAACTAACAGTTATAACTTAGAAATCAGTGAGTAAAAAGGAACATGAGACTACATGTACACCTGCCGACACACAAGGACAAAAGACGTTCTTCTAAACTCACACCTGAGACATCTTTCACACATCGTGACACATGCGACACGCGAGGACTTCAGCGCACACGTCTGTGGTAACTAACACGGCTGGTTATCTTCTTTTTTGCCAAACGTCTCTCTTCACCTTTTGTGCCTCGAGTTGTTCTGAATATCACAGGTCCAGACTTCAGTCCTTTTAAATGCTTTGTGAGGCCCTGCAGCCCCAGGCCACTGTCTACCTCCAACCTCTGTGTGTCTGGTGTGTGCAGGGGAATCAGCAGCCGAAAATTGTGCCTAGTTCTTGGTTTCCAAGTTTGTTGAATGAACTCATTTTCAGATGGACTCATTACAAACTGGTGATTTGCTGTTTTATTCTAACATTCAAGTGGAAATTGCATTTGACTCAGATCTCAGATACACAGATGCAGATAATGTTTCCAAACTAATGAAATCAAACATGACGTCTGGTAAGATAAACTCACTTTGCTGGACTCTATGCAGAGGGCATTCTTTATGGAGAATAAATGCCATAATAAGTCTTCTTCAAGCCCTGAGGAAGATCAAACTAGCACTGGCAATATATTGAATCAATTTTATTTATTTATTTTTGCCTTATGTGTAAAATGTCTACATTGTGGAATTCAAGTTATTACAACGTGCACAAAAACAGTCCACTCAACAGAGTGTGGACTCTACTTTGGTTCAGTCTGTCACTGTAGATGAGATATTTCACTTTGAGCAGTTGGCAGCACTAGAACAAAAGTCATAGGATCTGCATAGCCAGGAGAATATGTCCTCTAACTTCAGTATCAGTAGCCAATTTCATGCAAGTCCACATGATGGTTGTCTAGATATTTCACTCTGATGTTAATCTCACAGTGGCACTAGAGGAAAAGTGAAGGGATCATGAATTATCACCAAGCTTGAAAAGGATTTAGTTTAGATTTTTTGTCTTGATCGCCCAGTCCTGGTTGCAAAGTTGGCGTTTACTCTGCCTTGATGCAAAAATTACATGTAATGCAATCACTGTTCTCCACTGGTTGACCACAAATTGTCTAGATGTCTAAGATGTGTTTATCATCTGATTCATCGTGGTAGGAGCCTGGCATTTCAGCAATGGGTAATCTGACCACAGATCTGCCGTTGGAGAGAAATTTCTTTCCTGGTGCCTCCTGGCACCACAGAGGCATGTTATGAGGAGTCTATATATGTCACGCTCTTTACCTACTGAACCACCGTGTTTATACAACACACTGTGAGGATGAGGGGGGAAGGTACTTAGAGACACGCTTCACAGGTTAGTAAAGGAGTAGCAGCCCCACAACCCTCCCTGGGGGTGGAGGAGTGGGGGTGAGGATCGAGTTCTAGCAAAGTAGAGGTTCCCCTCTGGTGAGCATGTTAAGTCTCAACCTGCTGTAGGTTTGAGTCTAGAATTCCTCTGGTGTCAAAGAAGCTTGTAAAGATGTAATGTGAGCCTTTGTATGTGGCTGAAAACAGAAACCAAATATAGCAATGTCCCAACTGCCATCATTTAAATAAATGTATACTGAGCAAGTTCATTTTAAAGTTGCATTAACCAAGATCCAGATATAGGATGTGGGCTTGCAAAAGAGAACAGTAACAGTGTTTATTACCAATGAATGAATCTGTAGCATTTGACACTGAACAAAGTCTTGCTGTATAAATCACACCTCTACTGCTTCAGTTTCGATAGTCAAATAACTAATCACTGAAATCCTTCAAGTCCAAATGGCAGGACCTAAAACAAGCATTTTCAACTTTTCTTAGTTTTATACTGTTGAATGATATGAAGTTAAATGAGATATAAGTTGAATGAGAGTGAGTGTGACACTGCTCCACATAAAAGAGAACTCCAGAAAAAATATTAGGGCAGCAGGAAAACAACCAAGATGGAAAACAGATCAAACAAAGAGCAGAACAAGAGAGCAGAAGGGTGAGGCTGGAAACAAGCCCCTCTGCAGTGGTAAAACTGTCACGTCTGCACATGTCAAAAACAGTGGGTGTATAGGGAACAGGAAAAGCATGAAAGAACACAAAAAATGCTTGAGACAGCACCAGAGCAGGGAGCAGAGACTCTTTTTGTCCCTGAAAAACTTTGCAGCCAGTGCATCATGGCTTTATCCTGCTTACAGGAAGCAGGATTTACGACTTAGGAGTTATGAGCATCAGAAAATGAGAACAGCCAGTTATAAGACTCCATCCAGCCAGTGGTACAGTGACCGAAATCTGACCTGAAGGGAGTGTGTGTGTGTGTCTCTGTGTGTGCATGTAACATCAGAGCAGTGTTAAACCCCATTAGGAAGAGGAGCCTTCAGTTGGTGTGGCTGATGACAAGTAAAATCTCATCCACACACCCATGTGCGCGCACACACTGTCCAAGCCTCGGCTCAATCCTCTTCGCCTTGTAGCGCTTAACTTCCTTCAGGGGGTTATTAACTCCCTGATTGGGGAGCTTTCCTTTCGCCCCCCCTTTATGGTTGTCAAGGTGGCATGACCCAAACTCTTATTAGCTGACCCTTGGGATTAGTCCAAGATGGAAATGGGGGGAGTCGGGGTTAAGCCTTTACCTCAAGGTGCTCGCTGCAGCATCTCACAAAAACCTTAATTAAATTGCTAAGACACTGAGTCAGGAATGTTTGCTTTGCTCTCCCTCTCTCCTGTACATATTTAGGTCCATCCCTCTGTCTCCACCTTTCTTTGCTTTTCCCATACCCCTCCATGCTAGGTTTGTTTTTCTGCACACTCACCACCAATATTGAATTGGAAAGCCTTTATTGTATTCAGACAGTGTTAGGTAAAGACAGCAGGTCATATCACTGGAGATTTAATTCCAACAAATTACCACATTGTGCAGGTCTGAAGTCTACACACAGACGAATCGCTAAGACCAAGCTTTTTAAAGAGTAATAGTGAAACTACACATCCTTAAAACAAGATTACAACTTGTGCAGCAACTCATTGTTTTCATTATTAATTACTTGATTCTTTTTTTGCATAGTTGATTAATGTTTTTTTTACTCTTTTCCATGTCTAAAGCTGAATAAATGTCCACCGTGATTTACCAAAGTCCAAGGAAACATCTTCAGTTGTTAACTTGTTTATTTGACTAACAGTCAAAACCTCAAAATGTTTAAATTACACTGATATAAAATGAAAAAAATAATTAATCACTTTAGAAACAATCAGTTTGACCATTTTTTTCTTAATAAATGTGTAATATTCATGATTGATTATACAAAATGTGGTCGACTGATTATCTAATCATAATGGCACTGATCACATTTAAATGTACAGTAAACTCTTTTGCAACATTAAAAACCCTTTAGGAAAGTTTATAAGCTTAGTAAGTAGAAGAGCAGGATGGCAAATAATGATTTGCGCGTCCATTCATTTCTCATTTCTCCTATTTAAGAAGCTGGAACAGGTTTGACAGCTCTGCTTAAAAAAACTTTCACGGTTAACTGATTACCAGTATATGTGTGGGTCGAGTAGGTTTCCTGTTCATTCCTTAATCAAATCATTTGGTCAGCTCTGCGCAATTGCCTGGAATTGAAACCATCCGTAATAAGTAAAAACGCCTGAGTACATGCTTATTTGCACCCACTGTGTGCGACGCACTGGAACAGCACATGCAAACACCTTAAAGTAGAAACTTTAAACCCACAGACAGCTCGTTTGATCCAATGGAAATCTCTTGATTTGTCTCTGGGGGTCACCAGCCAATCATACAGATTAACTCACAGATTATCTCACATCTTGGATGAAAACAAGCAGCCAGGAAAAAAAACAAATAACGGCCTCTAGTCCACATTCAACACAAACGCGCTCTGAGATAAACTCGCTTCCACATATCTCTGCGGGAAACACTTCTCTCACTGTCTGTCCTGTCCGTGCGTCCTCCTGAGCACCTCTGACCCGAGATAGTGACCCGTGCGCCGGGAGAGGAATGCAGTGGTAGGCTGACAAAGTCACCAGCCACAAGGGAAGCTTTGACATGTGGACCAGGCTGGGTAACGGCGCATGAAGGAGCTGAGACTGGATCAATTATCAGAGCGCCAAAGTCTACAGACTGGTTGTGGTTCTAATCGATATCACAGCATCTAAAAAGTCCATGCATATGGAGGGTGTCTGTAATATACTAGGTAGTAAAATCACATTAATCCCAGCCGAGATGTAAATGGGACTTTTCGTGCTATTCAGTCACTTCATGTTTAAACCTCACTACAAAAGTCAGCGAGAGAAGCGCATTGGAGACTTACCTTGGCAAAGGAACGCGATGGAGCAGCTTCTACTCAAACCTTTTATCCACTTTCTCGGCGTGTCTGTCGATGCAAGTCCAAAACTGCTTCACGTAGCGCAGCAGAGTTAGTGTCCACGCACAGTTTAAAGCAGAAGGTATATCACTGCAGCGCACTCACTCCGCTCCGAGACCGAGGTCCGCCAGCGTTCAGAGGGCGCACAGACTTCTCAACAATAATGCTCACTGAAGTAAAGGAGGAAAGCACTTAAAGAAGCTCGACAAGTAGGAGGTACCATATGCAGCTGGAGCGCGCCGCCTTGCGCGTCCCCGAGCCTGACTGCACCTGCATAGAAATACCCACACGGGGAAAAAGGTTTATTCTCAACCTCCGAGCTGTGAAAGATGACTACAGGTTACACGAACTTTTGCACAATTACAGTTTATAGTTTAATGGTATTTAACTAAGATTCATGCTATTAATTTTGTAATGTTACTATTCAGTTCTGTTCCTCTTGAAGTGTTGGATCGTTTGTGTCTTGTGTGACCCATTCTAAAGATTTGATTTGATTTAGGGGTCAGTGTTCAAAAGCACCTGTAGTGTCTTCACTCCTGTATTTATGGAGGCATTTACAGTTTGTTTGGTTTTTTATCGGTCACTTGGCAGTACAAGAATCAATATTGACATATCACCTTATAAATTGATATGGCGCACAGTTGCCTTTTTACACATAAACAAACAGCAATCTGAGTTGTTTTTGAATGTAAGTGTAATACTTCTGTGGCTCGGGTCAGGTCCCCACCAACTCCTGAGAGAAATATTTGTTAAGCTGCTAAATGCTTCACTCTGTTCAACGACTAATTGCTAACTGTGTCTGTTTACCGTTTGGTGCTGCACTGGGTTTATTTGAGCTTGTTTACTGGGAAACAAAAGCTGTGGCTGAAGAAGCCGCTCGTGGCAGCGGCGTGAGTGAACCGATACAGTAAAGTTGTGGGCCTTTTCAGTAGTGACTGGTTTGGTGCCAGTGGAAGCCCCAATGGAACCATGAAATGGCGGGGGGGGAACAGTGGTGCTTTGGTGCGGTGGGTAGAGCGGTTGCTTCCCAGCTGGAAGGTTGAGAGTTCAAATCTCAGTGCCTGCAGTCTACATGTCAGTGTCCTTGGTCACACAGCAGCCCGTGGCCCTCGGCTCCAAACAAAACATTGTTGTATGTGTCACAATGTTACAGTGACAATAAAATAAAGCTCCTTCTTCTTCTAGTTTCAGTGAATCTAAAAGAACTTAATTTAAAAATGCATTAAACTAATAGTTTTCTCTTAAAATATGAATTGTTCTTTAGATGTGAACGAACACGTTAATCTGGATCCTCTGCTGTTAGAAACAAAGAAGACTAATGACAAGACAGATAACATTTTCTGTTGAAGTGATCATGTCACAATTACACTGAATTTACTCACTTCTTCTGAACAGCTCCAAATTTAAAAGACTAAGCAACGACAGAGTGCACCGACTGTGAAGCCTACTGTATCGACTGGTGTCACTCACACCAATATACAAACAGAGCTAGACAAATGTCATTTTTCTCTAATAGAGGAAAAACAAGACGTAAATATATCTCTGTCAATGCCATCACACACACAAAAAGGTTTTAATTGCTTTGTCTACTAGATCCATTTCAGCAATATGTTACACTGGACATGAACCCAGAAGTATCGAGAGCAAAGCCAGTCCTTTTATTTCTCTGTCTGGACTGAGCTGTAAGGAATTATAACAGCAAATAAAGTCGGTTATCATCACATTTATACATTAGTGCATTTAACAGTGAGAGTGTTTGAATCTGAGTCGACAACAATTTGATTAACTGTGTTTACACCAGAACATACTTTATGACTCAACTTGTTCCACAATCACATATTTTTTGAAATAATAAAGGATGTAATCTGATGAATCCAACATGAATTCCAGACACATTAATCATTCCCTTCCTGGCTGACCTTTAACAATATCTTGTGGTAAGCAGGAAAGTTGTGTTAATAGTAATGTTTTAGGGTTTACTCCTTTTATTGTCTGTATTTTATTTATAAAAGGACATACTGCGTGCGTTGCCCACAAACAGCCATAAATCCACCAGACTAGTCCGTATGCCAGTGGAACATGGCTATCGCAGTATCACCATCATAATATTTGCAATAAAGAAGGAAATCTGCTCTTATGCTTTCTGAAATGGCCCACTTGACCAAAGCAACCCTACAGTCAAACAAGGATGTCGACATTGTACAATCCACCAGCTCCCAGGTTGCTTTCAGCATCTTTAAAATCCTTACTTTTAACAGTATCTGATCAATGAAACCAGAGTGTGGTTAGGGAACAATCACAGTTGTGACAAATGAAGTAGTTTTGTTGGTCCAGGAAGAGCATGTGTGGTCACACTGTACTGGCTGTTTGGCATCAGCAGCTTCGTATATACTTCACAGTCACTGATTCGTTCAGTGTTGTGTTGGTAGTACCATCCAATTACAGTATATTCATGCTGAAGTACAAACCGGACATTATAGCCTGACACTTACCACTGTTACTCTACTGACGCCTTCATGCTGATGCTGTTTGTTCACACAGCCTCTGTCACCACCCGAACCTCCTCCTCATGTGCTATTTTTGGTGTTGATTTAACTAAGATTCATGGAGATAAAGCAGGACTAATTCCCCTAGTAGGATTTGATTTGATTTGATTTGATTTATTCTTTCAAGCATGTAAAAACAGTTGATATGACAACACACATACACATAATCCAATATCAATTTTCTTATACCTAGTACATGCTTGAATGGAGTAGGAAGAAGTCAGACTTATCCAGTCCTACCCCATGACATCATCTTACCATCATTGGTTTGCAAGCAGTATCTCTACATAGATAATTCTCTTCTACACCACACAAGTAATATACTAAAGAATTATAACAGAGTGTTAACATTCTTACATAATTACATTCTTAAATAATTATCTTCTACACCACACAAGTAATATACTAAAGAATTATTACAAAGTGTTAACATTCATACACCACACCCACAATGTTCCATCTGGTTAATCATTAAGCCTGTTCTTGCATATATCTTGATTGACACATACCTTTATATTTATGTTTAAACTCGTCAATTCTATTACTATTTTTTATGTCTACACTTAAATTATTCCATAGTTTTACCCCACTTATGGAAATACAAAATCTTTTTTTGGTTGTACATATAGCATGAATTTTTAAATTTAACTGACCCCTTAAATTGTATCCCCCATCCCTTTCATTAAATAGTTTTTGAATTCCACCAGGTAATAAATTGTTCCTGGCTTTATACATAAACACTGTAGTCTTATATCCCACTAAAACGAAAAAATTTTAACAATTTAGACTGTATGAAAGCTCCATTGGTGTGATCCCTATATCCCATCTTATGCACACTTCTTATCGCTCTTTTTTGTAATATATACAATGGTTGAAGTGAGCTTTTGTATGTATTTCCCCAGTTTTCAACGCCATACTCTAAGTATGGTAAAATCAATGAAGAATACAAAATGTGTAGTGCTTTCCTGTCCAAAATATATCTAACCCTTGCCAATATCGATATATTTTTTGCTATTTTGTTCTAGGATCTACCAAATGTAAGTGTTTAACCGTTTGTTCAGTTCCTTGATGCAGGCATCTCTGGCTGAATTAAACATAGGTGAGGTATGATGAGGAGTGCAGTGCTAAACCAGTGGAGTAGTTTTAAAACTGTTCCCAGTTTTGCTCCAAGCCATCACTGGTTTGCCGTAAGGAAAACTGGCAGTTTTGGAGCAAAATCATCTTAAGTGACTTTAGTGAATCAGTGATCATTTCACCTCCATTCTTCATCTAAAGTTTGTAGCCATCATCAGTGGCCTTGAGTAAAGCCAGCCAGGCTGTGGGATCAGTCCCATTAAAGAGCTGCTCCCCGCTGTGTGTGCGTGCAAGGCTGAGAAAGAGGAACAGATTTTGACAGCACTGCGAGAAAACAAACACACAGACCGTGATCCCCCACACTAGTGTTTGATCTGCTGCTTTACAAAGAAACAATAAAGTGAGATTTTCTCATGGGAAGAAATCAATACACCAAACCGATAAGCTTAAATACTTCTTGTTTAAATGGCAGATAACTGGTAGATAATTAAGTGATCAGTGAAAGTTGGTTTGTCATTAACTGAAATCTGAACTGACTTGTTCTGTGTGCGTTTTGGAAAAATATCACAAAAAATATCCACATTTTACAGCCAACATCTGGAATAACAGTGTGTTTATTATTTTTTAATGAAACAGCATTAAATAAAAAGCATTTAGAAAAAGGACATCAACAAATGTGCTTTTATCCAAGTCATGTTTTAGAATCATATGGGGTTCATATATTACATATGACCTGATTATTAAGGCTAATTTCAATATCATTCTGATGGAATATCTTGCAATGTCACTTCAAAGGCCAAATAAAATGTAATTCCCTACTTTATTTACACATATCTCACAGTGTGAGAAAGGCTTTAAGCTACATTTATAGAATAATACTGTGGACATTAAATTTGCAGAAATATACAAGTGAAATGTTCAATTAAAGGAGCATGTCACCAGTTTATTCATCACAATGGGAAAAAAATCTCAACAGCATCATTACACAGTTTTAATCTGTTTTCTTGGGTTGAGCCTTCAGATTTCATTTTGAAAGATGAAGGCATTTAGAAAACACAAAACAGGTTTTATTGAAACACTAAGATTTTAGATAGTGGGTCAAAACATGTATAAGTGGGTGGTGGGGTTGTACTGTGGAAATATGCCTGTCTCTTTCAACCTTAACTGTCAACAGACGTTCAACACATACAGCAAAACTTCTAAAAACTCTGTAATGCTAAAGTACGAAGTGATGTGTCAATGTGTGGCTCCAGCAGCATGAGCACTGGAGGAGGGCTGCAGGCGGATACAATGTGGGAGTGTTTCAGCCGGAGTGTTTATGTGATTCACACAGCCAGGGCTGGGGAAGGCTTGACCCTTCACAGACCTCCCCAACACAGAGGAAATGACTTCAGTCCATTTAAGACCCTCGCTTTTCTCTTTTAGTCCCTCCCAAACTCTTTAGCTTGCAGATTTACAAGGAACGTAAATAAAACAGGAAAACACACGTGTTTGTGCGTGTAACTGAATTTTACTCAACAATGTGCTTATGCCTGCTTCTGTGTGTGTATGTATGCCTGTCCTCGTGCTCTCGGCC